GGCCACTATTCCTCCCACTGACATCAGACATAGGATTATGTTTTTACTCCCACTGACCACAAACCTTGGGGCATTTTGTTCTTCCACTGACCACCAAACTTGGGGCATTGTTTACTACCACTGATGCTGAGAAATTTTCTAGCCCCACTGTTCATAGTCTGGCCCCCTAAAGTCTAAAGGACTGTGAACTGGCCACTTGTTTGGAAACCCAATGCGCTAGGCCTTTTATGGCCTCCACATCTCCTTTATATTAGCATTTAAAATGACAATAAACCATCACAACAAAAGAAAAACTTTGGGCCCCCAGAGGCTGTTTGCCATAATGTTCTAGTATGGATAGCATATTAGCACATTATGGCAGACTTACCTAGCAAGTGTGCCCTTCCATCCCTGAAATATCCCTCCCACCACCACACCAATGAGAGGGCAGTATTCCTTCTATTGACACCATCGGTAGGCACTATTCCTCCCTCTACCCATATTGATGGGGCACCATTCCTCCCACTGACACAATTAATGGGGCACTATTCCTACCACTAACTCCATTGATGGGGCACTATTCCTCCCTCTGACACCAATGATGGGGCATTATTCCTACCACTAACTCCATTGATGGGGCACTATTCTACCCTCTGACACCAATGATGGAGCATTATTCCTCCCACTGACACCAATGATGAGGCACTATTCCTCCCACTGACACCATTGATGGGGCATTATTCCTCCCACTTACACCTACGATGGGGCACTATCCCTCCCTCTGGCACCAATGATGGGGCACTATTCCTCCCACTTACACCAACGATGGGGCACTATTCCTCCCTCTGGCACCAATGATGGGGCATTATTCCTTCCACTGACACCAACGATGAGGCACTATTCCTCCCACTGACACGATTGATGGGACATTATTCCTCCCACTGACACCATTGATGGGGCATTATTCCTCCCACTTACACCAACAATGCGGCACTACTCCTCCCTCTGACACCAATGATGGGGCACTATTCCTCCCTCTGACACCAATGATGGGGCATTATTCCTTCCACTGACACCATTGATGGGGCATTATTCCTCCCACTGATACCAATGATGAGGCACTATTCCTCTCACTGACACGATTGATGGGGCATTATTCCTCCCACTGACACCATTGATGGGGCATTATTCCTCCCACTTACACCAACGATGGGGCACTATTCCTCCCTCTGGCACCAATGATGGGGCACTATTCCTTCCCTCGGACACCAACGATGGGGCACTATTCCTCCCACTTACACCAACGATGGGGCACTATTCCTCCCTCTGACACCAATGATGGGGCACTATTCCTCCCACTTACACCAATGATGGGGCACTATTTCTCCCTCTCACATCAATGTTGGGACACAATTTCTCCCTCTCACATCAATGTTGGGCCACTATTTCTCCCACTGAGATCAGATTTAGGGTTATGTTTTTACTCCCACTCACCACAAACCTTGGGGCATTTTGTTCTTCCACCGACCACCAAACCTGGGGCATTGTTTACTACCACTGACCACCAATGCTGGAGAATTTTCTAGCCCCACTGGTCATAGTCTGGCCTCCTAAAGTCTAAAGGACAGTGAACTGGCCATTTGTTTGGAAACCCATGCGCTAGGCCTTTTATGGCCTCCACATCTCTTTTATATTAGCATTTAAAATTACAATAAACCATCACAACAAAAGAAAAACTTTGGGCCCCCAGAGGCTGTTTGCCATAATGTTCTAGTATGATAGCATATTAGCACATTATGGCCGACTTATCTAGCAAGTGTTCCCTTCCATCCCTGAAATATCCCTCCCACTAACACCAATGAGAGGACATTATTCCTTCTATTGACACCATTGGTAGGCACTATTCCTCCCTCTACCCATAGTGATGGGGCACTGTTCCTCCCTCTGACACAATTAATGGGGCACTATTCCTACCACTCACACCAATGATGGGGCATTATTCTTCCCACTTACACCAATAATGGGGCACTATTCCTCCCACTGACACCATTGATGGGGCACTATAACTCCCACTGACACCATTGATGGGGCATTATTCCTGCCACTGACACCAATGATGGGGCACTATTCCTCCCACTGACACCAATGATGGGGCACTATTTCTCCCTCTGACAACAATGATGGGGCACCATTCCTCCCACTGACACCATTGATGGGGGCATTATTCCTCCCACTGACACCATTGATGGGGCATTATTCCTCCCACTTACACCAACGTTGGGGAACTATTTCTCCCTCTGACACCAATGATGGGGCACTATTCCTCCCACTGACACCATTGAGGGGGCATCATTCCTCCCACTGACACCATTAATGGGACATTATTCCTCCCACTTACACCAACAATGGGGCACTATTCCTCCCTCTGTCTAAAAAATGTCACCAGCACACTATTTCAACATAAAGCAATACGGTTTTAATGACACATGTATGTCATTCAAATACAAACGTTTTTGGGGACTCGCAGGGTCCCCTTCCTCAGGTTCAGAATGACGACAGATCTTTACTATTCCTCCCTCTGGCACCAATGATGGGGCACTATTCCTTCCCTCGGACACCAACGATGGGGCACTATTCCTCCCACTTACACCAACGATGGGGCACTATTCCTCCCTCTGGCACCAATGATGGGGCACTATTCCTTCCCTCGGACACCAACGATGGGGCACTATTCCTCCCACTTACACCAACGATGGGGCACTATTCCTCCCTCTGACACCAATGATGGGGCACTATTCCTCCCACTTACACCAATGATGGGGCACTATTTCTCCCTCTCACATCAATGTTGGGACACAATTTCTCCCTCTCACATCAATGTTGGGCCACTATTTCTCCCACTGAGATCAGATTTAGGGTTATGTTTTTACTCCCACTCACCACAAACCTTGGGGCATTTTGTTCTTCCACCGACCACCAAACCTGGGGCATTGTTTACTACCACTGACCACCAATGCTGGAGAATTTTCTAGCCCCACTGGTCATAGTCTGGCCTCCTAAAGTCTAAAGGACAGTGAACTGGCCATTTGTTTGGAAACCCATGCGCTAGGCCTTTTATGGCCTCCACATCTCTTTTATATTAGCATTTAAAATTACAATAAACCATCACAACAAAAGAAAAACTTTGGGCCCCCAGAGGCTGTTTGCCATAATGTTCTAGTATGATAGCATATTAGCACATTATGGCCGACTTATCTAGCAAGTGTTCCCTTCCATCCCTGAAATATCCCTCCCACTAACACCAATGAGAGGACATTATTCCTTCTATTGACACCATTGGTAGGCACTATTCCTCCCTCTACCCATAGTGATGGGGCACTGTTCCTCCCTCTGACACAATTAATGGGGCACTATTCCTACCACTCACACCAATGATGGGGCATTATTCTTCCCACTTACACCAATAATGGGGCACTATTCCTCCCACTGACACCATTGATGGGGCACTATAACTCCCACTGACACCATTGATGGGGCATTATTCCTCCCACTTACACCAACGTTGGGGAACTATTTCTCCCTCTGACACCAATGATGGGGCACTATTTTCCTCCCACTTACCAACGACCTCATAGTTTTTCTCCCTCTGACAACAATGATGGGGCACCATTCCTCCCACTGACACCATTGATGGGGGCATTATTCCTCCCACTGACACCATTGATGGGGCATTATTCCTCCCACTTACACCAACGTTGGGGAACTATTTCTCCCTCTGACACCAATGATGGGGCACTATTCCTCCCACTGACACCATTGAGGGGGCATCATTCCTCCCACTGACACCATTAATGGGACATTATTCCTCCCACTTACACCAACAATGGGGCACTATTCCTCCCTCTGTCTAAAAAATGTCACCAGCACACTATTTCAACATAAAGCAATACGGTTTTAATGACACATGTATGTCATTCAAATACAAACGTTTTTGGGGACTCGCAGGGTCCCCTTCCTCAGGTTCAGAATGACGACAGATCTTTGGGATTCAAAATGCTCAGGTGTGAATCGGGCCTGGTTTGCGTATGCGCGGCTCAGTATTCACAAACGCTCACACGCAAGGAGAGAAAGACATAACAGAGTGATGTCATAAAATACCTACCTGTCAGCGTTTGTTTCTTAATTGATTCATTTTCCGCTTTAAAAATCTGCAGTAACGTGAGGAATGGGAGAGATGTTTGGTGGAACATAAACCACATTGGCAGTTACTATATATAGTACAATTATAATACATTTTATAAGAATCTGTATAGAGCTAAAAGAGGACAACGTCTAATGAGAAGTTGGAGTCACAGTACTTGACCTATAAATAATCGCTGGGCATTCGTAGCGATTGCTACGGATTGTGCCGCGCCAGAACCAGATGAGAAGATGCAAAGTCACCAAATAAACGCTTTTCATGTGTTTATTGTACAGACAGCACCACAAAGTCATAAGAAACTGGCGTTTCGGGTCCCTCAGTTAAGGCGACGTAAAGTGACCAGAACAGTCGCTTCTTTATGACTTTGTGATGCTGTCCTTGCGATAAATATGCAAAGTGCATTTATTTAGAGCTAAAATAGGGAAGTTTGATGGGGAATGAGGGACAAAAAGTGTTTTAAAATAAGGACAGTTCATTTAATTAAGAGACACCTGGCAGCAGATAGAATATTACTTATGTCTTATGGTTAGTGGAGTGAAACTCTTTTGTTTATATCATATATTATATAAATGTAGTTTTACTATATGAACTATAAATACATCAATAAGTGAGGCTGACAGAAACATTCGCCTCACATATTGTTGTGATATTATTTCACATTGTGCTCCTGAGCTATCACAGAGGCAGATCCGGGGGAAGGAAGGCGGGGGCTCGTTTCACCACACTCTTCCAACCATCCAATCACCGAGTGCTTCAAACGGCCTCAGCCAATGGCAGCCCTCCCGCCGGGAGACAAAGGCATGTCGTTGGCAGTGACGTAACGCTGGATATATAAAGCCGGGTGGCGGGCACTGCCGTACGTTATTCCTCGCCTCGTTTGACCGTCTCTATCGTGGCTCCGGACCGATCGGTAAGTGGGCAATGCGGCGGCGCGCCACGGGCGCCGCTTCCGGTTACCGTTTAGCACTGTATGGTTTAGATTACATCAATTTACCGCTACCATGTGTTAATTTTTGCCTTAGGGTTACCGTTTTCGGTTCCGGTGTCTTCCGGTAATTTTGTATATTTTATTTTTGATTTTCCGGTAAAGGGGGTTTTATGTTGGTGTTTTAATTGCTTATAGCGGTGCGGCGCTCGGTAGGTCCCTTAAACGGGTCGGACGGTAAGTTTCAAAAAAATCCCCCCCCCCCCCCCCCCTCCAGTTCCCGGAGCTCGCTGGGCGCCATGTTGTCTCGTCGCTCGGGGTGAGAGGGGAGAAACTGAACGTGAGGAGAAGCTGCCCTGTAATGAAGGCTGTGGCCCCTGTCTGGGAGAGGGAGTGCGGGGGGCCCTCCATTGTGTATGTAGTATGAGAGGGGTACCGGGGCTCCTGAGCACTATGCAGGCGCTTTCACCGGAATGGGGACAAGGAACAACAACAGCAGCTTTCTTGTCGTATTTCAAATGGCGGATCCCGCATTTTTCTCCTCCAGACGGGAAAATATAATTAACCTGATGGACACTCGTACAGAACTCGGCTCTGGCAGTGTAGGAAGGACATTATTTTTTCCTCCACTCAGATTTTTACAGGAAAGTTGTTTTAAGTTGAGAATGTGAATTTTAGTGGTTTTTATGACGGGTGATAAAGATCACATAATGGCGGGCAGGGGGGAGGGGTGATGGGGGGGGG